AAAAGACCATTACCTATAAGATGCACCCTTCCCTCAAGATATGCACAATACACTAGACACATCCTTTCAGAGATGCTAAAAAAATGGATGTCCTGAAATCAGTGATTTATGACATAAACTTTTTTTTTTTTTTTTTGAGACAGAGTCTTGCTCTGTTGCCAGGCTGGAGGAGTGTAGTGGCGCGAACGCAGCTCACTGCAACGTCCGCCTCCCGGGTTCAAGTGATTTTCCTACTTCAGCCTCCTGAGTAGCTGGGACTACAGGCGTGTGCCACCACGACCAGCTAATTTTTGTATTTTTAGTAGAGACGGGGTTTCACCGTGTTGGCCAGGATGGTCTCAATCTCTTGACCTCGTGATCTGCCCTCCTAGGCCTCCCAATGTGCTGGGATTACAGGCAGGAACCGCTGTGCCCGGCCATTTTTTTTTTTGAGATGGAGTTTCACTCTTGCTGCCCAGGCTGGAGTGCAATGGCACGATCTCAACTCACCACAACCTCTGCTTCCCAGGTTCAAGCGATTCTCCTGCCTCAGCCTTCCGAGTAGCTTGGATTATAGGCATGCACCACCGTGCCTATAATTTTATATCTTTTATATTTTAGATTTAAAATGGCCGGCTAATTTTATATTTTTAGTAGAGATGGGGTTTCTCCATGTTGGTCAGGCTGGTCTCTGGTCTCGAACTCCTGACCTCAGGCGATCCACCCGCCTCAGCCTCCCAAAGTGCTGGGATTATAGGTGTAAGCCACTGTGCCTGGCCCAACTCACTGATTTCCTAACAACCCTCTGAACTAAGTACTACTAATCTCATTTGACACATTAGGTTAACTCGCTCTCTACAAGCTCTCTATGGGTAGCAAGGGGTCGAGCCAGTGTTTGAACGCAGGGAGTCTGGCTCTGAAGTCTGTGCTCTGAGCTGCAAGCACAGGCTTCTAATACAGCATTACATTTCAGTTCATGACTGCCTTAAATGTAATGTCCCTTAAAGGGACAGGATGCTGTGTGACACACAATACTAGAAACAGTGGAGAAGCTGCACCTTGCACTGCAGCTCCATTCTCAGCAGGAAGCAACCCAGAAGGGAAGCAGGTCAAATTCTCAGGCCAGCGATTGTGGAGAGGGAGCTGTCCTGGCATGAGGACTGTGGATACCCCGTTTCATCTCAAAGTAAACACCATGTGCCCTTGCATGTGGTTCCTGACTATAAGCTCTGACACTCTTGGTTGGAGAGACAAAATGTTTAAGTGGATGTGTATGAAAAATGAAGAATCATCTGGTTGGGCGTCATGGCTCACACCTGTAATTCCAGCACTTTGGGAGGCCAAGGCAGGAAGATCACAGGAGCCCAGGAGTTCAAGACCAGCCTGGGCAACATAGTGAGACCACATCTTTATTATGAAAAATATATATATATGTCTGTGTGTGTATATATATGACATATGTATGTGTATATATATAAGCGATATATATGTGTGTGTGTATATATATACATATAAAACATTTAAAAAGAGAAACAGGCTGGACGTGGTGGCTCAGGTCTGTAATCCCAGCACTTGAGGCCAAAACAGGCAGATCGCTTGAGCCTAGTTCAAGAGCAGCTTGGCCAACACAGCAAAACCCCATCTCTATAAAAAATTTAAAACTTAGCTGGGCATGTTGGTGCACACCTGTAGACCTAGTTACTCAAGGAGGCTGAGTTGGGAGCATCGCTTCAGCCCAGAAGGTGGAGGTTGCAGTGAGCTGAGATGGTGCCACTGCACTCTGGCCTGGGTGACAGAGACCCTGCCTCAAAAAAGAAAAAGAAAAAGAAAAAAAAGACAGTCATCTGCAGAGATCTGCAGTGAGCTATGCTGTTTTTAATATTACCAAAGGCTGAACTATATGGAACAAAAAATTACGACTTTGGATCAGGACAGGGTGCTATGCTCCTCACAAAATTCATGTTGAAATCCTAACCCCCAATGTGATGGTATGAGGTGGGACATTGATTAGGTCTTGTGTGTGTTTGTATGTGTGTGTGTGTGACAGGATCTCACTCTGTTGCCCAGGCTGCAGTGCAATGCTGTGATGTCAGCTCACTGCAACCTCCGCCTCCTGGGTTTAAGCAATTCCCGTGCCTCAGCCTCCACATTAGCTGGGACTACAGGTGCCCACGCCCACACCTGGCTAATATTTGTATTTTTAGTAGAGACAGGGTTTTGCCATGTTGGCCAGGCTGGTCTAGAACTCCTGGCCTCAAGTGATCTGCCCACCTCAGCCTCCCAAAGTGCTAGGATTACAGGTATGAGCCACTACGCCTGGTCATGATTAGTTTTTTTTTTTTTTTTGAGACGGAGTTGCCTAGGCTGGCGTGCAGTGGCACCATCTCAGCTCAAAACAACCTATGCCTCCCGGGTTTATGCAATTCTCCTGCCTCAGCCTCCCCAGTAGCTGGGACTACAGGTGCGCACCACTATGCCTGGCTAATTTTTGCATTTTTAGTAGAGAAGGGGGTTTCACTATGTTGGCCAGGCTGCTCTCGAACTCCTGACCTCATGATCTGCCTGCCTTGGCCTCCCAAAGTGCTGGGATTACAGGTGTGAGCCACCGTGCTTGACCCATGATTAGGTCTTTAGGGCAGAGCTCTCATGAATGGGATTGGTGCCCTTATAAAATACAGGTTGAGTATCCCTAATCTGAAAATCCAAAATCTAAAATGCTGCAAAATCTGAAACTTTCTGTCAATGTGATACTCAAAAGGAAATGCTCCCTGGAGCATTTCGGATTTGAAATGTTTGGATTAGGGATGCTTAACTGGTAGACCCATCTCTGTAAAAACAAAACAGCCAGCTGTGGTGGTATGCCTGTACTCCCAGCTACTCAGGAGGCTAAGGTGGAAGGACAGCTTGAGCTCATGAGTTTGAGGCTGCAGTGGGTCATGATCATGCCACTGTATTCCAACCTGGATGGCAAAGTGAGATGCCCCCATGGGAAAAAACCCACAACCCCAACAGAAAGTAGATTAGTGGTTGTCTAGGGCTTGGGTGGGGGATGGGGCATGGAGTGAATGCTAATTGAGGCTGGGGTTTCTTTTTGTTCTAAAAATGATTGTGGTGATGGTTGCAGAACTCTGAATACACTAGAAGTCATTATATTGTACATTAAATGGGGACATTTTATAGCATGTTAATTGTATCTCAATAAAACTGTTAAAAAGGAAATGCTAATGGAATTTGGATACATTTCCACTTATTTGGTATATGCCATTTATTTTGTTTTATTTTACAAACACTTACATGGTCTTACTATGTGCCAAGTACTGCGTTCCAAACGCTTTATAAATGTGAACGTATTTCATCCTCATAACTCTGTCAAGTGGATACTATTGCTATCTCCATTTTACACAGGTACAGAGAGGTGAAGTAACTTACCTAAGGTCTTCCAGTTAAAAATGGCAGTCAGGATTTGAACCCTGCCAGTCTGGCTTCAGAGTCTGTGATCTTTATTTATTTTTCAAGAGATAGGGTCTTGCTATGTTGCCCAAGCTGGAGTGCAGAGTTAGTCACAGGCATGATCCCATTACTGATGAGCATGGGAGTTTTGACTTGCTCCATTTCTGACCTGAGTTGCTTCACTCCTCCTTAGGTAACATGGTGGTCCCTGGCTCTTGTGCGGTCACCATATTGATGCCAAACTGAGGACACCCAATGCTCGTTGTGTACTACAGCCAAGAACTCCTGAGCTCAGGTGATTCTGCTTCAGCTTCACTAGTAGCTAGGACTGTAGACCTGTGCCACCAAGCCAAGCCAGAGTCTGTGATCTAACCATTCTATTAAGCCACCTTTCCCAAGGACGTTTACAGTTTTTCTTAACTGTAACCAGTGCAGAAAATTAAAAATTCGTGGAGGATCTTAAATTTGAGGACAGAGTTTAGGAATATATCCCTACGTACATGGCTAAATGTAAATATGTAGCAATGCCTAATAGAGGCCAGGCACTGTTCTGGTACTCTGGGTAGGGGTGGATAGGGAATATAAGACAAATGATATAGGGTCCACGAAGAACTCTCAACCTAATTCAGATGCAATGTGGTGTTGGTATTTGAGAGTTTCCAAAAATGTTCTGGGTAGGAGAGCAAAACAATAACATTTGGGTTTTAGAAAGTAAGGCATAAAATAATTTAGTCATTAAATCAAAGGCGGTAAGATCAGTTGGGAAAGTGATAATCCAAAAATAGTAAGTATTTGAGTCTCAGCAGGAGGAATGAAAACAAATTACTTCAAGGAAATATTTCATAATTAGAAATATCCAGGTTTAGATACTGAAAGTGAGGGCCAGAGATAGGAATGGGTTGAAGATGACTCTACAGTCTTTTTTTTTTTTTTTTTTTTGAGCCGGAGTCTCACTCTGTCGCCCAGGCTGGCACAGTGGCGCGATCTCAGCTCACGGTAACCTCTGCCTCCCGGGTTCAAGCGATTCCCCCACCTCAGCCTTCAGAGTAGCTGAGATTACAGGCGCGCGCCACTAGGCCCGGCTAATTTTTGTATTTTTAGTAGAGACGGGGTTTCACCATCTTGGCCAGGCTGGTCTTGAATTCCTGACCTCAGGTGATCGGCCCGCCTCGGCCTCCCAAAGTGTCAGGATTACAGGCGTGAGCCACTGCACCCGGCCTACAGTACTTCTAACGTAACATCTCAGAAACACTGGAGGAGAGAAAAGAATATACTTCCACTCGGAATTCGCACCCTGGTCGCCTTCGCTCGCTGGGTTTGCTCGCTGAACCGCCTCGTCCCCGCCTGGAAGGATGACATCTCGGCCTGGGCAGAGACTCGAAAGCCTCCTTCTGCCGCTCGGGATGCTAACAGCAGGGAGAGCAGTGTCTAGTCTTGCCAGTAGGAGAGTCGCCGACAGCCGCGCCGGGTTGCCAGAACCTCCCTAGTTACCCTACCGGCCGCCGCTCTTCCCGCATTCACCCCCTCCCCTCTTCTGGGAACGTGCGCACGTCTTCCGGCGCCCGGAAGTGCGTCATCAGCCGGCGCCAGCGGCCGCATGCCGGCGGAGCAGGGGCATTGAGGGCCGGGGATTCCGGTGCTCGAGCACGCTGGTAGGAAAGGACCCGGGACTTGAACAGTGTTGTGCGCCGCCATGCAGGTTTCCAGCCTCAATGAGGTGAAGATTTACAGTCTCAGCTGCGGCAAGTCCCTTCCTGAGGTGAGTCACTTTCCGGCCCCCTCACGAACTCTTTGGGGTCGTCCTCCTCGTGGGACAGCCGCCCCTCTCCTGGGCCCTAGCGTCTGTTTTAGCTGGACCCTGGTCAGCCCCCGACTCGGGGAGGCCCAGAGGCGGCTGACAGTTTCCTGGGGAGGTGTCGGCATTGGGAAACGAGGACACTGCCGTCACCGCGCCAGAAGCTGGACCAAGGGATAATCAGGGTCGGTGAACTTTGCTGGAACTTTTGTAAAGTTTTCTGTTCCAGAGAACGCATCCATTTGGGCTTCTTTGGATGTTCACAGTCCTTGCCACACACTGAGAAGGAAAACATGGACAGATCTCTCCCCCATATGGCCATCAGCTGTTTGTGGAGTCCCTTTCATTTGCCAGGTCTTAGGGATACAACGGTGAACAAGGGAGATACAGACTTCGCATCTGCAGAATTTATGGTGTGGAGGACAGTATTTTCGAGACATGCTGAACTTAACCTGATTCCTAGTCTTAAAGTTAGAAAGGGCTTGGACAAATCGGTAATTCGCTTCCAATCTTCTTGTGTTTAATAATGCAGCTGAGATTTAATAATGTGTTTAATATGCAGCTGAGATCCAGGAAGGGGAATGGTGACTTGTCCAGCATGACACACCTAGGCTATGAAACTTTTCTTTTGTTTCTTCTACGTGGTGATCAAGCCTCTGTCCAAGCACTACCTTTTGTGGAAGCTCATTTCCATTTTGAGACTCTGCACTTGTTAGAAAGTGGTTTTTCAAATATGTCACCTTATAGCATGCCACTGTTGGTCTGAGTCCTGCCCTTGGAAAACAGAATAAATATAGCCCTCCTTCCATGTGTCTGCTTCTACAAAAATCTGGAGCCAGTGCTTAGGTTTTTCCTTTCTTCCTAAAATTCTGATTTAAATATTGCCCTGTCTTCCAGTTGTTCTTCACACCTCATGAGCTTTCTCATTTTGTTTATTCATTCTCCGCACCTGTTAAGAAGTTACTATGTGCAAGCAACTCTGTTTTAAGTATTGGGATATGTGGTGGACATTTCAGATAAGGTTCCCTGTTGGGGAAAAGGAAAATAAACAAGTGAGCAAATAAGGCAATTTCAGGTAGTCAAAAAGTACTTTTCATGATGAATGATTAGAAGAGAGCCGTTTTGGATAAAGTGTTGAAAGTGTTTTGGATAAAACCTTCGGGGAAGGCCTCTCTACAAGAGGTGACATATGAGCAGAAACTTGAATGATGAAGAGGGGTCAGTCATGTGAAGATGGGGGAAGAGTTCAGTGCTGAGAACAGAAGGTGCCAAGGTCCCCACATGGGAATGTACTGGATATGTAGGAGGACCGGAAGAGGCACAGGTGTGATTGTAGTATGCTGAGTGAGGGGGCGAAGGCAGAGTGGATGAGGCTGGAGAGGTAGGCCTGGTAGGAAAGGTAGGAAGTTCAAGTTTTATTCTTAGTGCTGCTGGAAGTCACTGTTGTGTTTCCACGTGGGCTGCTGTGTGACAGATGACTGGCTGGGGAGGGTTCGAGTGGGGATGAATTAGGTAGTCCGGGTGAGTGACTTTGGTGACTTGGGCTTGCCTGGGAAGAAAGGAGATGCTAAGACACAGTGACTCAGGACATATTTTGTAGATAGGGCTGATGGAACTTACTAATGGATTGAATTCTTGGTAGAGGGAAGTTGAGGTGACAAAAAGGAAGGAATCAGAGAACTCTTCAGTTTTGAGTCTGAACAAGTGGGTGCATGGTGGTGCTGCTAACTGACATGGAGAAGAATCAAGAAGGAACACGTTAAAGGGTGGAGAGGAGGAACGTAGTGAGCAAAAAGAATCAAGATTTTTTTTTTTTTTTTTTTTTGAGATCGCGTGCAATGGCCTGATCTTGGTTCACTGCAACCTCCCGGGTTCAAGCAGTTCTCCTGCCTCAGCCTCCCCAGTAGCTGGGACTACAGGCACACACCACCAGGCCCAGCTAATTTTTGTATTTTTAGTAGAGACGGGGTTTCACTATGTTGGCCAGGATGGTCTCGATCTGACCTTGTGATCCACCCGCCTTGGCCTCCCAAAGTGCTGGGATTACAGGCATGAGTCACTGCGCCTGGCCCAAGATTTTTATTTTCAATAGTGAACATTTGAAGTTCTAATACATACCAAATGGAAATGTTGAGTAGTTAGCAGTTGCATGGATACTAGTATGGAGATTGCAGTTAAGTCACTGTCATCGTTTGGGACTAGGTGAGAGCAAATTGTGAGAGAATGAACAGAAGAGAACTGGGCTGAGGACCTGAGGCAGTCTTAACGTTTGCATCTAAGAAGAGGAGGGGAACCCAGCAAAGAAGAAGGAGTAGTAAGCACTGATGGAAAGGGAGACTCGAAAATGTGTGCTTTTGTAGAAGCAAGTGTTTCAAGGAGGAGGAGTGGTCACCTGTGTCAACTGCTAATGAGAGCTTCAGTAAGATGAAGGCAGAAAAGAGACCATCGACTTTGGCATGATGCAGCACCATTGACCTTGGTGAGGAGTTCCAGTGGAATGGTAGGGAGAGTAGCTTGAGCTGAGTGGATTTGGAACCCCCTGCTTGTCCTGGTTAATATTTTCTGGTTTGTTGTTTTTTTTGAGACGGAGTCTTGCTCTGTCACCCAGACTGGAGTGCAGTGGCGCCATCTCTGCTCACTGCAAACTCCGCCCTCTGGGTTCAAGCCATTCTCCTGCCGCAGCCTCCCGAGTAGCTGGGACTACAGGTGCCCACCACCATGCCCAGCTAATTTTTTGTATTTTTAGTAGAGACGGGGTTTCACCGTGTTAGCCAGGATGGTCTCGATCTCCTGACCTCGTGATCCTCCCACCTCGGCCTCCCAAAGTGCTGGGATTACAGGCTTCAGCCACCGCCCCTGGCCGTTTTCTGGTTATTTCTTTGAGGTGTGGTACCTAAACTACACGTGGAACCCTATTGTTGTCTGATCTGTGCAAATATTGCTTCTCTCCTTCTGGGCTTTACCTTTTTGTTAATGTAGAGAAGCCTCTACATTTACTCCCCAGGTGATCCGATGCAGCTTTAAGCACATCTGCGTATCCTTAACTATCACATTGACATTTCTAGCCCTTACCTCTACGCTGAACTGGACTTGTGTGTCCAGCTGTTTCTTGACATCCCTACTTGCATGTCTGATAGGTATCTCAAACTTAACTTGTCCAAAGTAGAACACCAGCTTTCCCCCCACATTTGCCCGTCCTCCAAACTAGTGGTCTTTGCTCTCTCGGTCAGTGGCAACTCCATCCCTCAAGCCATTGATGCCAAAAGCACTGGAGGTTTTTTGTTGTTGTTTCTTTGCTCTCATACAATCCATTAGAAAATGCTGTTGGTTCTGTCTTCAGTATAGATCCAGAATCCAGTCATCTCCATTACCGCCACTGATCAAGACACTGTCACCCTGGATTATGCAATTGCAGTTATTGCAGTTGACTTCCAAGCTGTTTCTCAGTTTCCGCCCTCTACCCCTTTATTCCACAGTCTGTTATCAGTAAGCTGGCAGAGTGATCCTCTACTCAAAACCCTCCAGTGGCTCCTGGTCTCTTGGGGGTGAAAAGCAGAGTCCTTTGAGTGGCCTATAAGGTCCTACTTGATGTTGTGCCTTCCTGCCCTCTTCTCTGAGCTCAACGGTCGCTGTTCTCCACCTTCCACTGGCCTCACAAGTCTCCTTACTGCTCGAGACCAGGCACACTTTTGCCGTAGGACCTTGGTGCTGGGGATTCCCCCTGCCTGCCTGCTTTTCTCCCAGATGTTCACCAGGCTTGGCTCCTCATGCCTTTCAGGTCATTGCTCAAGAGAATCTTAACCTTATTTAAAATTATAATTCTCCACCAACACTTCATCTCCTCTTCTTGCTTTATTTTTTCCATGGCATACATAACCGTCAGACATTTTAATTGTTTTACTTCCTTATTTGTTGGTGTTCCCTCACTTGAAAGAAAGCTTCATGAAAGGAGGGGTTTTTAGATTGATTAATTAATTAAATTTTTTTTTGAGACAGGGGTTTACTCATTGCCCAGGCTGGAGTGCAGTGGCACAATCATGGCTCACCTCAGCCTTGACTTCCCTTGGGCTCAACGATCCTTGCCCCTCAGCCTACTGAGTAGCTGGGACTACAGGTGCGCACCAGCATGCCCAGTTTCTTTTTTTTTTTTTTGGTAGAGACAGTGATCCCACTTTAGTGCCAGGCTGGTCTCGAGCTCCTGGACTCAAGTGATACCCTTGCCTCAGTGCTGGGATTATAGGTATGAACCACTGCACCCAGCCAAGAGGGTTTTTTTTTTTTTTTTCCATGTTTTATTTATTACTGCTATACCTAATTACCGGCATTTAGTATACTAAATAAATATTTGTTTAATGTATTGATGAATAAAGTTAATTTTCATTTCCAGCCCCATCACACTTTTGACTTGGGGCTGTGATTTTTGTTCATACAATTTGACCTAAAAATCTCCCATTCTGGAGTTAATCAGCTTTTGTTGTATTTTTAATGCTGTTAAATTTATTTTCATTAGTTTTCCAGTGGTTAAGCCTGTTTTTTTTGAGACGGAGTCACCAGGCAGGAGTGTAGTAGCAAGATCTCAGCTCCCTGCAACCTCCGCCTCCCGTGTTCAAGTGATTCCCCTACCTCAGCCTCCCAAGTAGCTGGGATTACAGGTGCCCACCACCACGTCTGGCTAATTTTTTGTATTTTAGTAGACACAGGGTTTCACCATGTTGGCCGGGCTGGTCTCTATCAGCCTCCCAAAATGCTGGGATTATAGGCATGAGCCACTGTGCCTGGCCAAGTATCAGCTATTTGGTCAGTTACTTATCTGGTTTTATTCTTTGTAAAAAATATATTTCTATAAGAAACATTCTCCTATAAATGTTTTACTTTTTAAATTCTCACTTAAATAAATTAAGTTGTTCTGTATATTTAGTTATAACCCATAATATTTGAGGCTTTCTGTTTTCCTTTAGATTGGATTGGGTTAGTTTAGATTGGATTAGGTTAGATGGGTTAGTTTTCTCTTGTGTAAAAGGTTGTAGTTCAAAAAATTTCTTAGCTGGCTGGGCCTGGTGGCCCGTGTCAGTAGACCTAGCATTGTGGAAGGCAAGGGTGAGAGGATTGTTTGAGCCCAGGAGCTTGAGGCTTCGGTGAGCTGCAGTCACGCTGCATCACTGTACTCTAGACTGGGCAAGCATGAGACCCTGTCTCTAAAAAAGTAAAAATAAAAGAAATTATCTAATGTATGTAAGTATACACAAGAAAAAAAGCCAGGAGATATTTAATATGTTAAGAGTAGAGTTAGGATTAGAGAATTTTTTTGCTTCATGTGTTATATATTCCCATAAAGTTTGAATTTTTAAATATAAGCTTGTATTGATTTTGCAAGCTGAAAAAAATTTAGCAAAATTTGTTTTAAAATAAAGTCTGTTCATTTTCTTTAAGTGGCTTTCTGATAGGAAGAAGAGAGCACTACAGAAGAAAGATGTAGGTGAGTATTGTTTTTTCCCGCTTCAGCTGCATTAGTGATCCGTGTTCTAATGCTTTTACTCATTTGCTGATATCATATACAAGTGAGGATTTATAAGAATGCAGTAACATATAGTGGAAAATGAATGCTGTTGTCTCTTTCCTTTTTTTTTTTTTTTCCTTTGACATGGGGTCTCGCTGTGTTGCCCAGACTGGTTTCTAACTCCTGGGCTTGAGCAGTCCTCCTGAACCTTGGCCTCCCAAAGTTTTGGGATTACAGACATGAGCCTCTGCACCCAGCCCTTCTCCTTCTTCTTCTTCTTTTTTTTTTTTTGAGACAGAGTTTCAGTCTTGTTCCCTGGGCTGGAGTGCAATGGTGCGACCTTGGCTCACTGCGACCTCCACCTCCCAGATTCAAGTAATTCTCCTGCCTCAGCCTGCTGAGCAGCTGGGATTACAAGCCACCATGCCTGGCTAATTTTTTTTCTATTTTTAGTAGAGATGGGGTTTCTCCATGTTGGTCAGGCTGGTCTCGAACTCCCCACCTCAGGTGATCCTCCCGCCTTGGCCTCCCAAAGTGCTGGGATTATAGGCATGAGCCACCACGCCTGGCTGCCTTTCTCCTTCTTAAGAAACTTTTTACTGTGGTTGGTATGTTCCTGGTGGGTATGGGATTTTGATTTTACCTTATTAACTAATGAGTTAGCCTGTTACTGTTTCATGGATAACAACGGTAAGACGCAAGACTCCTGGGTTAGAGATGCATATTTTATTACTCACAGCACAGTAAATAGCATGAACATCAGCATATTTGTGCCAGTTCCCCTCTTGAGTCTCCTGGAGACACTTAGCACAGTCCAGATGGATGCCTGGCACACAGTGGATTTGTGTTGTGGCTGAGCAACACAGCTTGGGAAGTCCACTGCTTTTTAGCAAGTAGTAAGCAAAGCTGTGCTTTGTCTAGAAGGGACGTGTCTGTCAAGGTTCTCAGCAGCGTAAACAACCCTGAGAAATGGCTCAGGTTAGAGTGACTGGGGCCTTGCAATCTTGCCATACCCAGTAAGCATGCAGGTCCAAGGGGGACTGCCTCTCCTATTGCTTTGCTCTCTGGTGTATCAAAATCTTATCCTGTGAATTAAATCCATTTATCAGTGTTTGAGATACAGAGACAATGAGCATTTTTTGAAGAAAGGAATTTTACATGTAGGATGTATGAACCTGAACATTAAAAGATGATTGTAGAAGATGATTCTTTTAAATTTACGGCAGCAAGAAATTGTAAGAAAAATTCTAACTTAAATAATTTCGGTAAACAAGTTTTCATTATGTTTTCTTCATTATAGCTTGTCACATATGAAAGAAAATTTATTTTCCCATATTTTTGTTTAACTTATTCTTTAAAGACCTAAGGTATCAAAGGGATTTCCTCTTGTCTGCAGATAATTGGTGCCAACAGAGGCATAAGTCAGCTTGGTAGTAGTTTCTTATATAAACTTAAGAGTTTGGGCCAGGCATGGTGGCTTACGCCTCTGATCCCAGCACCTTAGGAGGCCCAGACGGGCAGATCACGAGGTCAGGAGTTCAAGACCAGCCTGGCCAACATAGTGAAACCCCATCTCTACTAAAAATACAAAAATTAGCCAGGCATGGTGGCACGTGCCTGTAGCCCCAGCTACTCAGGAGGCTGAGGCAGGAGAATCGCTTGAACCTGGGAGGTGAATTTTGCAGTGAGCCAAGATTGTGCCACTGCACTCCAACTTGGGCAACAGAGTAAGACTTTGTCTCAAAAAAAAAAAAAAAAAAAAAAAGAGTTTGGAGGCTTAAACCTGTCATTTAGGAGAAAAAAAAAATTATAAGATTTTTTTCTTTGCCGTGATTGAGTAATAATAGTGGTTTAGGGGCCTGGTGCAGTGGCTCACTCCTGCAGTCCCAGAACTTTGGGAGGCTGAAGTGGGAGGATTGCTTGAGCCTAGAAGTTCGAGACCAGCCTGGGCAATGTGGCAAAACCCCATCTCTACAAAAATACAAAAATACCTGCGTGCAGTGGCATACGCCTATAGTCCTAGCTCTTTGGGGGGCTGAGGTGTGAGGATCGCTTGAGCCCAGGAGGTTGAGGCTGCAGTGAGCCATAATCGTGCCACTGCACTACAGCCTGGGTGACAGAGTGAGACCCTGTCTCAAAAAGTGGTTTAATGTTTATGGTCTTCCTCCTATAACACTGAATGTTTGATACACTGTTGTGGAAATTTTTTTTTTTCAATTAATGGTGATAGTTTTTTTCCTCTTGAAAAGTGAAAATGAAATACTTAGCTTAGAAAAACAATATATGAGCTAAGGAAAAAAACCTTTGCTGTTTAATGGTTGGGCTGGAAAGCCAACCATTTCCCAAGGCTGGGAAGCATTTGGGATGAATTTTACCTGTTTATGGTTGTGGTGACTGCTTGGCACACATTTGTCTTATGTTAGAGAATAAGCACATGTTAGCTAAACTAAGTTGTTTTTTTCTCTCCTTTTAGATGTCCGTAGGAGAATTGAACTTATTCAGGATTTTGAAATGCCTACTGTATGTACCACTATTAAGGTGTCAAAAGACGGACAGTACATTTTAGCAACTGGTAAGCATCTTTTAGGTTATGATTTCCATGCGTTTTATACCAGGAAATGCTGTGATGGGAAAGATTTTTGTTGTTGTTGTTGTTTTTAACCATAATATTTTATTATAAAAAACTTAAAACGCACAGAAATATTGAAAAAATTATAAACACCTACTTAACTACTACCTAAATTCCACAGTAAATAGTTTACTCTGCAGTATTTGATTTATCCCATGCATCTGTCTCTTTGTTCATACATCAGTCCATCTTGTTTCTTTGATGCATATCAGTGTCAGTTGAAGATACCAGTGTACTTCACCCCAAAACACCTTAGCATGTATATCATTAGCTGGAGTTCAATATTTATCAATATTTACTTATGGCTTTTTTCAAGATAAATTTATATTGGTGAAATGCACAGATCCTAAGTTTACCATTTGATTAGTTTTGACAAACGCACATGCTTGTGTAACTCAAAGCTCTATCAAGATACAGAACGTTTTTTTCCTGCAGAAAATGTCTCCCACTCGTGCAGAGACAACCGTTGCTGATTTTTTTCAGTATAGACAAGTTTAGTCTGTTTTAGAACTCAATATAAATGTAGTCATACACTGTATATTCTTTCTCTGTGAGACTTACTTCATGTAGGATTTTGTATTTGAGATTCATACATGTTGTTATATGTGTCAATAGCTTCTTTTTTTTATTACCGAAAAATATTATTAGATGACTAAACCACAGTTTATTTACTCATTCTCCATGTAATGAGCACCTGGGCTATTTTCATTCAGTTTTTTGGCTATTACTAATAAAGCACTCTGAACAATTGCATAGAAGTCTGTTTTGTGGGTATATGCTTTCGTGTCTTTGGTAAATACCTAGGAGTGGAATTTTTGGGTCCTGGGTAGGTGTATGTTTAGTAATCTGGGAAACTTCCAAGTCTTTCCCCAAAGTGATCGTATCATTTGTACTCCTACTAACAATGAATGAGAGGTTCAGGAAAGGTCACTTATAACATGGGTTTCTGTATAATGTACTAATTTTTAAAAATATCCCTAAGATTTTACATTAACAGTATTTATCATTATCAAAAAATCATGAAATATAGAGAACTTTTACTGTGTTGGAGTGTTGAACAGTGTCACCCAACCTTTAGTGGTTGTGATTTTGGTGCATTAGTCCTGTATATTGTCCAAACATTTTTTGCTGGTATCAGTATTCCTTTTCCAACCACTTTCTTTTTGGTAACACCTTTTATACCCACACAGGCCAGTCTCTTTTGCTTTGTGTTAATGATTATCTCAGTACTAACTAACACTATCTACATCTCTTAGCCTTCAGTTTTATGTTCAGAAACTGGTAAAAAGAATTGAGGAAATCTAAGATATATGGACACCCTTATTGAAGACTAGAAGAAACTTAAATTTTCTTCACTGTATAGATCCAGAGATATTAAGTGACTTGTCTAAGCTCACAGATCTAGTACTTAAGAAAGCTAGGATACAGATTTGTTAAATGACACTTTCTTTTATGAAATCATCCTCTGTTTCTATGCAAAATTGGTGGCTTTTCTTCTTCTTTTTTTTTTTTGTTTTTTGTTTTTTGTTTTTTTGTTTTAAACAGAGTCTCACTCTGTCACCCATTCTGGAGCACAGTGGCATGGTTTTGGCTGACTGCAGCCACTGCCTCCCGGGTTCAAGTGATTCTCCTGCATCAGTCTCCTGAATAGCTGGGACTACAGGTGTGCACCACCACACCTAGATAATATTTGTATTTTTTTAGTAGATATAGGGTTTTACCATGTTGGCCAGGCTGGTCTGGAACTCCTTGCCTCAAGTGATCCACCCGACTGGGCCTCCCAAAGTGCTGGGATTATAGGTGTGAGCCACTGGGCCTGGCCTAATGACTATCCTTCTTATTCAGAACTTCTCAGTTTTATTTTATCTTAAAAATATTCCATAAATAATATGTGGGCTGAGCAGGGTGGCTCACGCCTGTAGTCCCAGCACTTTGGGAGACTGAAGCAGGCAGATCACATGAGGCCAGGAGTTCGAGACCAGCCTGCCCAACATGGTGAAATCCTGTCTCTGTTAAAAATAAATTAGCTGGGCGTGGTGGCGTGCACCTGTAATCCCAGCTACTTGGAGGCTGAGGCATGAGAATTGCTTGAACCCAGGTGGCAGAGGTGAGCCAGGATGGTGCCATTGCACTCTACCCTGGGCAACAGAGTGAGACTCTGTCTCAAAAAAAAAGAAAAGGAAGAAAATGTGAAATATGGTAGTGAGACTGAGGAACTGAATTTCATTTTTTTTTTAGAGACAGGGTTTCACTCGTAACCTTGAACTTTTGGGCTCAAGCCATCCTCCTTCCTCAGCTTCCTGAGTGGCTAGAACTATAGGTGCTCACCACTATGGCCATTAATTAAATTTTTTTTTTTTTTTTTGAGACGGAGTTTCACTCTTGTTGCCCAGGTTGGAATGCAATGGCGCGATCTTGGCTCACCGCAACCTCTGCCTCCCTGGTTCAAGCAATTCTCCTGCCTCAGCCTCCCAAGTAGCTGGGATTACAGGCATATGCCACCACGCCTGGCTAAGTTTTATATTTTTAGTAGAGATTCGGTTTCTTCATGTGCGTCAGGCTGGTTTTGAACTCCCGACCTCAGATGATCTGCCCACCTCGGCTTCCCAAAGTGTTGGGATTACAGGTGTGAGCCACCGTGCCAGGCCAAAAAAAAAATTTCTTTTAGTAGAGATGGGGTATTTTGCCCACATTGGTCTCAAACTCCTGGACTCAAGCGGTTGTCCACCTGTCTCTCAAAGTGCTGGGATTATAGGCATGAGCCACAGCACCCAGCTGGAATCTTAAATTTAATTTGATTTTAATTATTTTTAATTTAGATAGCTATGCATTGCTAGTGGCTGCCATATTGGACAGCACAATTGTAAAGTCCAGAGTCCTTCTGGTTTGACTTTCCTCGAGGCCTTTTTCTGGTACTGGTAGGGGAAATGGAGTTGGAGTGTCACTTGCTTCTCCATTTAGTTTGGTAGAGGTTTTTCTTTCAATGTCGGTATCTGTCCGTACTTCTTTCTCAGATTCCCTTTGATGTTCTAGGCCGTGTGGCTAAAAACAAGTTGAATGAGATTGGCCCTGAAGACCCTTCATTCTAGTTGGGGAAATAGATTATCTAAGGGAATGAACCCAGGGGATGTGCTAAGTATTGTTTTGTTATGGAAGTGACCGGCCTCTTAATTCCTTTTGGAAGCATTGGGTTTATGATCATGCCAGATTTAAATCTATTGTTAGTGGTGGTGGTAGTTTTTTCCGTTACGTGGGGATGAAAGATAAAAAATAGAGGGCCTACTTTTATTAATGTTTATATTTTTTACCACTTTTTCCCCCCGATGGCCAAAGTAATACTTGTAAGCCTTTTAAACAACATAGCAATAAAAAACAACAGGGTACAGTAGCTCATGCCTATAATCCCTGCACTTTGGGAGGCTGATGCAGGAGTATTACTTAAGGCCAGGAGTTCAAGACCAGCTTGAGCAACACAGCAAGATTCTGTCCCTACAATAAAATAAAAAAATTAGCTGAATGTGGTGGTGTGCATCTATAGTGTCAGCTGCTCACGAGGCAGAGGCAGGAGGATTGCCTGAGCCTAGCAGTTTGAGGTGCAACGAGCTATGATTGTACCACTGTGCTCCATCCTGGGCAACAGAGCAAGACCCTGTCTCTGAAAAAAATTAAAGCCCCAAAAACAAACGACAGTGGAATACAGGTCCTGGCTATATTAAAAGTTTTATGTGTGGCCTTTCAAATTTTGTGTGTGTGTGCGCGCGTAAAATTGTGTGTATATATCTGTATGAATGTAGATATATATACACACATATATACACACATGCATATATATGTGTGTATATATACACATACACACATGCATACAAATCTATTAAAATTATTGCCATATGACAGTGGGCTTGTATTTACTGGTTTTAAACTTCTCTTTTTTAAGCTGGGTGTGGTGGTTCATGCCTATAATTCCAGCACTTTTGGGAGGCTGAGGTGGGTGGATCACTTGAGTCCAGGAGTTTGAGGCAAGCCTGGGCAATGCGGTGAAACCCCATCTTTACAAAAAATACAAAAATTAGCCAGTCATAGTGGCAGGCGCCTCTTGGTCCCCGCTACTTTGGAAGCGGAGGTGGAAGGATCACTGGAGCCGAGGGAGGTTGAGGTTGCAGTCAGCCGTGATTGCACCACTGTGCTCCAGCCTGGTTGACAGAGTGAAACCCCATTTCAAAAAAGGAAAAAGAAATTCACCAAAGAAAACCCCACAAAATAACCTTTTTTTTTTTTTTTTTTTTTAAATGAAATCTTGGGTTTTGATCTATGTCAGTAAACAAAGGACTACCTCATTGTTTTAAGATATCTTTATTGGAAATACATAACATAAAATATGAAAGTCTCCGAAACTGCACTTCACGGAGATAGACTATCATTGTGAAGTTAGTTCCTCCAACTTTTGCCTTACAAAGTGCCAAAGTTAGGCCAGGCACAGTGGTTCATGCCTATAATCCTAACACTTAGGGAGGCTGAGGCAGGCAGATCACCTGAACTCAGGAGTTCGAGACCACACTGGCCAACATGGTGAAACCCTGTCTCTACTAAAAATACAAAAATTAGCCAGATGTGGTGGCAGGCACCTATAATCCCAGCTACTTGGGAGGCTGAGGCAGGAGAATCACTTGAATCCAAGCGGCAGAGGTAGCAGTGAGCCGAGATTGCTCCTCTGCACTCCAGCCTGGGCAACAGACCAAGACTCCATTTCAAAGAGAAAAAAAAAGGCTGGGCTCGATGGCTCACACCTGCAATCCCAGCACTTTGGGAGGCCAACGCGGGTAGATCACCTGAGGTCAGGAGTTCAAGACCAGCCTGACCAACATGGTAAAACCCCATCTCTACCAAAAATACAAAAATTAGCTGGTCATGGTGGCCTGCATCTGTAATCCCAGCTACTCAGGGGGCTGAGGCAGGAGAATCGCTTAAACCTGGGAGGCTGAGGTTACAGTGAGCCGAGATCACGCCATTGCACCCCAGCCTAAACGATAGAATGAGACTGTCTCAAAAAAAAAAAAAAAAAAAAGGCAGAGTGCCAAAGTTGCCATTGCATTGTACAAAATTGGGATTGTATTATATGGATCATATTCCAGCACTCGCCTGTGCTCTCTCTGTGTACTTTTACTTTATAGTACGTTTTGGCAGCTTTCCATGTCAGTGGTTACTCCAGGTCTGCCTTATCCACTTTATGGGCTATGTAATATTCCCTTGCGTGGATTTATTGTCAGTCATTCAACCATTTTCCTGTCAGTGGACATTTTATTTGCTTTCAGTTGCTGACCATTTATAAATAATGCTGCAGTGAACATTCTTGATATCTTTGGCAGGCTTGTGGATATATTTCCGTGAGTTCAATTTGTGTGAGTTGAAATATAGATTGAAAGTATAGAAACATCATGTATTTTAGGGATTATCCTTCAAAGAAGTTGTATCAATTGTATACTAATCAACAACAGTATATGGGAATATTTTACACTTTCACCAACACAGATATTAACCGTTTTTTAAATCTTTGCCATTCTGGTGGACAAAACTGTTTTGTCGTTTTCATGTATTTTGTTAGATTACTTGTAAAGTTTCTTAGTAATTTTGTTTGGTTTTCTATGATTTGCTTGTTTAGCTTTTGCTCAGTTTTTCCTTGGGGTGTTTGAGAGGAGCTGCTTTTACATTCCTTTCTTTTGATTTGATTACAATTAATCCTGCCTATCTCTGAATAAGAGGTACACTCAATGTATCTGTGGATGTTGACTATGAAAGTATGTCTTTAGGTTTTACATCACATTAATTTTTTGTAGGAACATATAAACCTCGAGTTCGATGTTATGACACCTATCAGTTATCCTTGAAGTTTGAAAGGTGTTTAGATTCAGAAGGTGAGTAAAAAGCTAAATTTGAATTCGTGAAAATGACTTTTTATGTTGTTTGCTTTTCTGGTTTTAAAATGAGAACAGTTTGTAATTTTTTTTTATTGCTATATAACAGATTACTGTACTACAATCCAGATGGCTTAAAACATCCATTTAGTAGCTCACAGTTGTGTGGATCTTAAGTCTGTGCAGCTTCTGTGCTCATAGAGTGTTGACCAGGTGGAGCTCTGACTTGGAGGTGCTGGAAAAGAATATGCTTCCACGTGTTAGTTTGTAGTTCTTTTAGAATTGACTAGCAGCTTTTCTGGTTTTCAGAGAAAGCCCCCCCCCAAAAAAAATAAAAATAAAATATCAAAAGGAATTTGCTTCCAAACACAGGTTGTTGTCAGTATTCAGTTTGTTGTGGTTATAGGATTGGGTTCCCATTTCCTTCTGGCTGTCAGCTGGGGGCCACTCTGTGCTTCTGGAGGCTACATGCATTTCTCATCACACGCTCACCTCCACCTTCAAACCAGCAAAAGCTCATCACATCCTCCCTGTTTTTCTTTTCTTTCTTTTATTTATTTATTATTTTTTTAAAGAGATAGGATCTTGTTGCCCAGACTGGAGTACTGTGGTGTGATCATAGTTTACTGTAGCCTTGAACTCCTGGGCTCAAGTGATCCTCCTACCTTAGCCTCCCAAGTAGCTGGAACTACAGATGTGAGCCACCACGCCCCACTAATTTTATAATTTTTTGTAGAGATGGAGTCTAGTCATGTTGCCCAGGCTGGTCTCAAACTCCTGGCCTCAGCCATCCTTTCGCTTTGGTCTCCCAAAGTGCTGGGATTCCAGGCATGAGCCACTGCACCCAGCCCCTTGTGTTTTGGATCTCTCTGACTTTTTATTCTGCTGCCAGCCAGAGAAACTGCTTTTATTTTTTATTTATTTATTTTTGAGACAGAATCTTGCTGTGTCACCCAGGCTAGAGTGCAGAGGCACGATCTTGGCTCACTGTAAACTCCACCTCCCAGATTCAAGCGATTCTCCTGCCTCAGCCTCCTGAGTGGCCGGGATTATGGGCGCACTTCACCACGCCCAGCTAATTTTTGTATTTTTAGTAGAGACGGGGTTTCACATTTGGCCAGGCTCGTCTCGAACTCCTGACCTTGTGATCCACCTACCTTGGCCTCCCAAAGTGCTGGGATTACAGGCGTGAGCCCCCGCACCCAGCTGAAACTCTGCTTTTAAAGGGCTCATATGATTATAAATCTCCCCTTTGCCATAAAATGTAGTGTAATCACTAGAGCAATGTCTTATCAATTCACAGTTTCCACCCACACTCTCAAGGGAAGGGGGTTATACAAGAGTAAAGGTCACTGGGGGTCATTCTTAGAATTCTGAATGACACCAAAGTCAAATTAAAATGAGAAAGTTCAAGTACTTTTATCAATTGGCCTAGAATTTGGGATTGAGGGGAAAGGAGTTAATGGGATATGTGGTCTGTGGAATTATATGCATAGTCTCCCAACTTGTTTCACCCTTTGGGTTTTTTTTTGTTTGTTTGTTTGTTTTGTTTGTTTTTTTTTTTACTTTTTAGAAACAGGATCTTTTTCTGTCACCCAGGCTGGAGTACAGCGTTGTGGTCACAGCTCACTGCAGCCTCAACTACCCAGGCTCTAGAGATCTGCCTATCTCAGTCTCCCAAATAACTGGGACCACAGGTGTGCACCACCATGCCTGGCTAATTTTTTTTTCTGTTTTTTTTCCCCCCATAGTGATAGGGTCTTACTTTGTTTATTGAAAACAATAGAAACTCTGTGTGCCACTAATAATGGCTATTTTTCACTCTTTTTGTTTATCAGGTAGACTATGAATGGGTAAAAAAATGACTGTTATCTTTTTTGTTAAGCAACAATTTTTTAAATGTTCTTTAATGTATATTTGAAAGTCTTTTCTTTTTTTTGAGACGGAGTCTCACTGTGTTGCCCAGGCTGGAGTGCAGTGGTGTGATCTTGGCTCACTGCAAGCTCCGCCTCCCGGGTTCACGCTATTCTCCTGCCTCAGCCTCCCGAGTAGCTGGGACTACAGGTACCAGCAACCACGCCCGGCTAATTTTTTGTATTTTTAGTAGAGACTGGGTTTCACCATGTTAGCCAGGATGGTCTTGATCTCCTGACCTCATGATCCGCTCGCCTCGGCCTCCCAAAGTGCTGGGATTACAGGCTTGAGCCACTGCGCCCGGCCTTGAAAGTCTTTAAAATGATTTCGTTTTCAACATCTCAGAAAGAGTGTCAGAATTTAGAAGTCATTGTATTTTGTGAATTTGCTTTCAGTTCTACAAGAAACCTAGTTGATATGTATTGAGAAATTATGAAGCTTTTAAGTTTTTGTTGGTGTTTTGGGACAATATACTATGACAATTTTCTTGTTTCACGTAGAGGCAGAAAAAAACTGGTTTGTGCATAATTTCTGTGTTGAATTAGAATCTTTGCATCAAGTTTGCATTGTTAAGAATGTTGATTGATAATTGTATTTTTCCTATTTCTTGTTTTTCAGTTGTCACCTTTGAAATTTTGTCTGACGACTACTCAAAGGTATGTTTTATAGCATTGGTTTGTACTGACTAGACCCAAGAAATGAATGAGTGGAATTTATTTTGATGATAAGCAGTTTTATGATATTTTTATTGTTAAACTAAAATGGCTGTGTAGTTCTATTGTTAAACAAAAATGGCTGTGTAGTAAAATGTAACCCATCATTTTTTATTAATAATACAATGATACAGATAGCCTTTGGCCAATCTAATATCAAAGTTAATTTTTCATATCATATATGAAACCTTATTTATATTTTTAAGAATTGGCAGCAGTTATGTTTTATATCATCTTATATTCTAGATTTATGATTCTGATTTTTACATTTAACCTAGATTTATATACCAGGTTGCTTTCATTTTCTTATTTATATGTGAAAAGTAAACTAGCAGGGTTGTATGTTTAATTTTTTTTTTTTTAACTTTGCAAATTGTTGGGGTATATTCTGAAACAGTTCAAAATATAGCTAAGTAGATTTATTTCTTTTTTTGGTGCCATTAGTCCATCTTTCAACTCTTTTTTTGGAGACAGGGCCTCGCTCTGTCACCCGGGCTGGAGGGGCAGTGGCTTAATTTCGGATCACTGCAGCATCAACCTCCTGAGTTCAAATGATTCTCCTGCCTCAGCCTCCTGAGTAGCTGGGACTACAGGTGTGCGCCTCCACACCTGGCTAATTTTTGTATTTTTAGTAGAGATGGAGTTTCACCAGGTTGGCCAGACTGGTCTCAAACTCCTGACCTCAAGTGATCCGCCTGCCTTGGCCTCCCAAAGTGTTGGAATTACAGGCGTGAGACACGGCGCCCAACCTATCTTTCAACTCTTATAGTCACTTTCAACAGTTATAAAATTGTCAGTAAACTCTTGGATTTAAAAGTAAAACATTTTTAGTGATGTCAAATGGCATCTTGAAAGAAAATTGAATTTTCTTAGCTGACATGACTTTGTATTTTCAGTTTTGGAAACTATCTGGTACAGTTTATCCTTTTGTCTATGGTGTCATTTATCATACGTTTTGGAACATGTAATTTTAGAGTGTATTTTCTCTAAATACTGACGAATTTGCCTTTAAATACCATCTGTTGATGTTTGAGATACCCCTTTAGTACACTAAAGTCAAGTTACAAGGAGTATCTTTGACACTAAAGTCAAAGATACAAGGAGTTTATCATACCTTGTGTGATAATGGTGGGATTATTATTATCATTTTTTGTTTTTTATTTTTTGAGACAGAGTTTCACTCTTGTTGCCCTGGCTGGGAGTACAATGGTGCAACCTTGGCTCACCACATCCTCTGCCTCCTGGGTTCAAGTGATTCTCCTGCCTCAGCCTCCCGAATAGCTGGGATTACAGGTGCCCGCCACCATGCCCAACTACTTTTGTATTTTTAGTAGAGACGGGGTTTCTCCATGTTGGTCAGGCTGGTCTCAAACTCCTGACCTCAGGTGATCCACCCGCCTCGTCCTCCCAAAGTGCTGGGATTATAGGCGTGAGCCACTGCGCCCCGCCGGGATTATTTAAATGTGTTCCCAAGTGAAAGAGGAAGCTGCTCATTGAGGGTACCATGAGAGTGCTTTGTGTTATGACATGCTCATGCCAGGTCAATGAAGGGCATTTGTTGCAAGTCTTTAATTAGTAGGTAAGGTTTGCAGAAAAGCTATCAGGATGCAGGAGGGCATTAAGGAGCCATTGGGGAGTTTTCATTCTTAATCCCAGTGGAGGGTGTGTGCACAGACGTGTGTTTAGACAGAGAGAGAGAGAGAGAGGTAAGAGTTTTTCTTGGTTTGCCAGTTTTTTAGTGATAATGAAATAAACACCTAACTAGGAACCTAAGCAAATTAATTTTTTTTGTTTTATTTTCAGATTGTCTTCTTACATAATGATAGATACATTGAATTTCATTCACAATCAGGTTTTTACTACAAAACCAGAATACCAAAGTTCGGGAGAGATTTCTCTTACCACTATCCATCTTGTGACTTGTACTTTGTTGGTGCAAGGTATCGGATCTAGTCCCTCTTTCTCCTTTTCACCTCCTAAAACAACCAACTTCTGTTCCTAAATTTCTTGTACAATTTCTGTAGATAGCTTGCTTTAATAAAAAAGTGATATGTGGCTCTTGTAAAAAAAAAAAAAAAAAGTACAAAACAAAGGATAGGCAAAAAAAAAAATTATTTTCTACATAATTGATTTCTACATAATCTACATATGGTACTACATAATCTACATATGGTACATAATCTACATATGCTGTTTTAACAACTGTTGTTTTGCTTAATACAATATTTTCTAATGTTAAAAATATCTTTGATAGTTACCTGCCTCATTGGGAAATACTGATGGGAAGTGTGTGAACCTTTTCAGTTTAGCCCAGTTACCACAATTTACGAGACACGGTATTTTAGTTATCTGTTTATCTTCTAGATTTCTGTCTCTAAGATTGTTTCATGTCAGTAATCAGTTTCTATCTGATCACTTTGTGATTAATAGGTCATATGTGGTTATGGATTCTAGTTTAAAAAAATTGGGAGAGGGCTTTATTATTTTTGGTAATTTGATAGTTTGATTTAATTTGATTTGCATGAAATGACAAAAGCATTTCAAGCATCTTTCATTGTGTAGTTGATGTCCTACATTAAACAGTCTACGAAATTCTGAATAAAAGGTCATTAGCAAGTTTTCAAAATTTTAAAAAATTAAACAGTTGTTTCAAAACCATTAAGTAGTAAATGTGTTTAAGAAATTAATTAGGACAGAAGTCATAACTTTAGAACACCACTATCTACCCATGTTTTTTGTTTTGTTTTTCTTTTTTTTTTTTTTTTTTGAGAGGGATTCTCGCTCTGTCGCTCAGGCTGGAGTGCAGTGGTACGATCTTGGCTCACAGCAACATCCGCCTCCTGGGTTCAAGTGATTCTCCTGCCCCAGCCTCCCGAGTAGCTGAGACTACAGGTACCCACCACCAAGTCCAGCTAATTTTTGTGTTTTTAGTAGAGGCAGGGTTTCACCTTGTTGGCCAGGCTCGTCTCGAACTCCTGACCTCAGGTGATTCACCTGCCTTGGCCTCCCAAAGTGCTAGGATTACAGGCGTGAGCCACAGTGCTGGGCCCGGTTTTTTTTTTTTTTTTTTTTTAATTTAACCAAAGCCATTAGTGTATCTATTTGACTGTTAGTATTGGCAATTTATCTACAATATTTAACAGGATAAATTGTAGGCAAAAATTTAGTACAATTTCGATAGAAACACCCCTTTTTTCCCCCTGAAAGTACAGCAGTATTTGAAGGACTAATTTTTTTAAAGAAGAATAAGACATTATCTTTGCTTTTAAGTTGCTTAAAGGGTATAATTCCTACATGTGACCGACTCATTTAGGAGTTGTATCTTTGGCTTCTGTTACTATGGTGCTAAATTTGGAGATATATACATGTATAATGTAGTTGATAAAGTCAGTTTCTTAGCCCTATTGCACAGTATTTCAAAACTTGTTATTCGAAGTACCTTTTTGGTTTTTAGTTTTTTATAAAGATGGGATCTCATTATGTTTCCCAGGCTGGTCTTGAACTCCTGGGCTCAAATGATCCTTTTGCTTTGGCCTCACAAAATGTTGAGATTATGGGTGTGAGCTACTATACCTGGCCTGTATTATTATTATTATTATCTTTTGAGACGAAGTCTAGCTCCGTCACCAGGTTGGAGTGCAGTGATCCAATCTCCGCTCACTGCAACCTCCGCCTCCCAGGTTCAAGCGATTCTCCTGCCTCACCCTCCTGAGTAGCTGGGACTACAGGCATGCCCTGCCACGCCCAGCTAATTTTTGTATTTTTAGTAGAGACAGGGTTTCACCATATTGGCCATGATGGTCTCGATCTCTTGACCTCGTGATCTGCCCACCTCGGCCTCCCAAAGTGTTGGGATTACAGGCATGAGCCACTGCGCCCCGCCTATATTATTTTTATAGTCATCAAAAAGGTAGCATTTGACCAGGTATTTGGCTGGTGGCTGTTATGTGTGTGTGTTTATATGTATGTGTGTGTATATATATGTGTGTGTGTGTATATATATAAAATACATGAAAAAATATATACAAATACATACCCATTTTAGAAAACTGGGAAAATACCGAAAAGAAAAAATTCTGGCTGGGCACTGTGGCTCATGCTTGTAATCCAGCACTTTGGGAGGCCAAGGTGGGCAGATCCCCTGAGGTCAGGAGTTCAAGACCAGCCTGGCCAACATGGTGAAACCCTGTGTCTACTAAAAATACAAAAAATTAGCTGAGTGTAGTGATGGGCGCCTGTGAGCTGAGACTGCCCTGTTGCACTTCAACCTGGACAACAAGAGCAAAACTCCATCCCCAAAAAAAAGAAAAAATTCAGCCATAATTATACCACCCAGAGACAATCCTTAATATGTTTCCTTCTAGTCCTTTCTTATATACATATGTAGATACATTACGTGTACTTTTGGATCTTGTATTCTCCATCTTATTTGTAAATAGTATACTACGTAATGACTTAATATTTTCTTGGCATGTGAATGGTTTAAATCACTTTTATACGTGAACAAATTCATAAAGTGAATATTTTTCAGATTTAGAATACATTTTTGTATCAGTTTTATAAAAAGAAGTGATGGCTTATGAGTGATATATATTTATAAAATTTATATTTACTTAAAGTTTCATTGTAGTTTAGCAGGTTTTTGACTTTCTTTATTACTTTACAGTTCTGAAGTTTATAGGTTAAACTTAGAACAAGGACGATACCTGAATCCTCTACAAACTGATGCTGCGTGAGTATTGGTTTAGTAATACTGCTATATACATTTTGACCAGGAGGTGGAGCCAGATGCTCAGTTTGTTAACAAGTAACATAAAATACTGCAATTAAGCAAAACTCCCAGCAACTTAGTTAAAAAGTGCTGTTGAATTTATTCTTAAACAAAAAATCCACCGAAAGATCGGTGATTACTTTCAAAATTAAAGCATTTTTTCATATACTCAAATTTAAGTCAGTTAAAAATAGTTTATTATTATGACTTGCAGTGTTCTTTAAATTTACATTCATGGTTTTGTTTTGTGATATTTTCTCCTGTGGAGAAATTTTGAATTAATTTGGAGTGCCATTTTTCAATTTTTATGCTTTGCTAGCGGACATTTAAGGTTTTTAAAGTTTCCTTTTATCATACATTATAGTCTGCACATACGTATTATATGCATTAAGAGTTTTTAGGAATGAATCCATCATCGTCATCATCACAACAAATAATAGCGATAAACTCAGTAGGAAAGCACTTACTTTGTGCCAGGTGTTATTCAGTCATTTTACTTTTATTAACTCATTTTAAACTTAGAACAGATTTATATGGTAAGTACCATTTTACAGATAGGGCAGCTGAGGCTCAGAGAGGTAAGTAGTTTGCCCAAGGCCACACAACTAGTCAAGAGTAGAAGCTGGATTACTTCTCATTGTGTATATGAAGAGCTTGCTGAATTTTTCTTAGTGCTTTGAGAGGATTTTTAAAGGTTAGACGAACATGTTGTGATAATAAGAACCAAGTTAACTCCAATTTTCTTTATTTCACATTGGCTAGAAATGCTTTTATTTTTATTTTTAAAAACTTGTAGTAGTAACTTCACAATGCATTATATTGAGAGTCCTCTGTACCCCAGGCACCGCTGAACACTTTGCTGTCTTTTTCATTTAATCCCCATAACAACCCCCTGAGGTAGGTGAAATACCCATTTTACAGAGAAAGAAAATGAGACTCAGAGTGATGTACCCAGGAGAAGCTTGTCAAGGCTCAGGATTGTCATGGTGATAGCGTGTGTTCTTTTAAGAATGTTACCTGCCTTGGAAGAAAATACCTTGAAAAAATAGAGTGACCCTTTCTTCTCATGGTAGTGGAATAGTATTTCAGAAGGAAGTCCCTCCTCGTTTGTCACCTAGCAGGTAGAGTGTCACCCTGGGGATCAGAAACTCCAGTGACTGTGAGCCAAGCACTTAACCCTTTCAAACCTTGGTGTTTTCCATTTGCAGATTAGTGAGAGAGAATCTGTGTGTCTTCTTTCTTCCCAGAATTTGGGTTGACTGTTTATTTATTTAATATTCCTTCCCCGCTAAAGTAGCTGCTAACTAATACTTTCTCTCTTACTGCTTTCATGTGTTAGGGAGAATAATGTTTGTGACATAAATTCAGTGCATGGCTTGTTTGCCACAGGAACCATAGAGGTAAGCATATATTGACTTTATTTTTTAGAATATTTGTTTTATATTTGATTGGACTTTTTATTTAAAGACTGAGTTGCTTGATTCCTTAGAGCAGGATAATGAGGTGATAGCTTATATATATATGTATATGTATGTATGTGTGTGTATGTATATATTTATTTATTTTTTTCGACACAAAGTCTCGCTCTGTCACCCAGGCTGGAGTGCAGTGGCACCATCTCCACTCATTGCAACCTCCGCCTCCCAGATTCAAGTGATCCTGCTGCCTCAGCCCTCCTAGTAGCTGGGATTATAGGCACGCACAACCATGCCTGGCTAGTTTTTGTATTTTTAGTAGAGATGGGGTTTCGCCATGTTGGCCAGTCTGGTCTCGAACTCCTGACCCCAGGTGATCCACCTGCCTTGGCCTCCCAAAGTGCTGGGATTACAGGAGTGAGCCAGCGTGCCTGGCCGGGATTCTTTTTTTCATTAAAAAAAAAAAAATTTTCCCCAGCTTTTTATTTTTAAAGAGTTCACATCTTTGTAAAAGTTTAGTGATAACTTATATATATTTTGCATTTTCTTTTCCTATAAAAATGTACATATATTAAAAATGTTTTTTGAACCATTTGAAAATAAGTTGCAGAGATGATATTTCTTCCCTAAATACTTTAAAATGGATTTCTTAAAAATAAGGACTTTCTCCTATAAAGTCATATATGTATCGTTATCATTACTAATAAATTTAATATTGGTGCAATAATATATATTAAGTAGTTAACATTGATACAATCATTTTAAATTTAAAAATTTTCCCAGTTATACCAAGATGTCCTTCAGCAGGGTTCTCCTTGCCCCTCCATCCAATCCAAGTTCCAGTCAAGATTATGCATTGCATTTTGGACTGTTTTATTCTGGTTTTTTTGGTTTTTTTTTTTTGTAATTTAAAAGAAATTCAGCTCATGTTAAAACACTTAAACAGTACTAAAAAGGTTATAAGGTAAACAATTAAACTTTTACTTTCTATGAAATAAACAATGTTAATTAGGTTTATTTTTGTATGTGTTTTAAGGATTTCCTAGTAGCAGATTTTATTTATTTAATTTTTATTCTACAGCCTTTTTTTTTTTTTTTTTTTTGAGACAGAGTCTCACTCTGTTGCCCAGGCTGGTGTGCAGTGGCGCAATCTCGGCTCTCTGCAACCTCCGCCTCCTGGGTTCAAGCAGTTCTTCTGCCTCAGCCTCCCGAGTTGCTGGGATTACAGGTGTGTGCCACATACCTGGCTAATTTTTTGTATTTTTGGTAGAAACAGGGTTTCGCCATGTTAGTCAGACTGGGTCTTGAACTCCTGGCCTCAGGTGATCAGCCCGCCTCAGCCTCCCAAAGTGCTGGGATTGCAAGCGTGAGCCACTGTGTGTGGCCTTCTACAGCTTTTATTTTAAATTGTTTTTCATTTGCGTAGGGTAGAGTGGAGTGCTGGGACCCAAGAACTCGAAATAGAGTTGGTCTGTTAGACTGCGCCTTAAACAGTGTCACAGCAGATTCAGAGTAAGTAGAAATTAATTTGCAATGTCAGTTTTCATCAACTTTTGATTTCAGTAATGTATCTGTATTAAATTCAAATAAATTGCTAAAGGGTATCTGAAATTGTACTTTCCATGATTGGTTTTCATAAAAGTCCTCTCCTGTGAAAGCTCACTAGTGAGTAAGCCAGAGAGAATTTCTTTCCAAACACTGCACAGAAGGCCTTGTTTCTTTAGTTGCTGTAGAATTTTATTAAAACAATTACACTGCAGGAATTTATATTCTGATTTTGTAGGATCTAGTGATAGAACTGGGAGTCCACCACAAACTCCACAGAGGTGTGCTTTGAATTCTAAGGTGGAAGGAAGCAAGTGTTTTTTTAATATTTTCTTGTTCCTGTTTCCCTAATTCCTACATTTAAAACAACCAGAAGAGTTTTCACTATTATACATCCATTTACAGTTTTATGATATTTCCTAAGAAAAGATACCTAGAACCTGAATTTCTGGAGTAAATAGCATACATGTTTTGAAGGTTTTTGGTACATTGCTAAATTGCCCTACAGAAAACATAAGCTCAAGTTAAATGTCTGCCCATGTGCCCAGAGCATGCATTTGCTCACTCTCCTCAGCCTGGACAGTCCATCACAGCCCTGCCAACAATAAGTCTTAGAAAGAACCTGCAGATATTGATTAAATGAAGCTTAGCAGAAATAATAGCTAACAGATAGTGCTTTCTATTTGCCAGGTACTGGGTCTAAGTTCTTTACATATATTAACTTATTTAATATGACAGCCCTTTGCTATAGGCACTGTTATTATACTTATTTTACAGATGAACAAAATACTCATCAATGGCATACCTGTTATTCAGCCTTTAAGAATTATGTTGCAGAAGCATATTTGTTACTGGGGAAGGGTGGTCCAAATGTGCCTGTGAGTGGAAAAGCAAACCATACCATTGCCTATAGAGTGTTGCCACCTTGTTACCAGAAAAACAGTGAACACAAGCATAATCACAGGAAGAAGCCTGGGTGTATACCAGAATGTTAAAACTAGGGTTTTTTTTCTGATTCGATTTTAGGTAATTTTATTTTATTTTTTTTAATGCTTAGTTTTTTTGTTTTTGTTTTACCTACAAACCTTAGAAGCTGTCAGTTCTAGGTGGAACCAACACAATATGAGAAGGTAATAAGATAGGGGAAGCAGGCTGCCATTTCCAGATGACATAAGTTTCTGTGCCTGGGAAACTCAGGAGAATAACTGAAAATCTATAAGAACTAATATAACAGTTAAATAAATTGGTTATAAAATGTGCAAAAATCAGTGACCTTGTTATTTATTAGCACTATCCGGCTAGAAAGGTTATAAATGGAAAAACATTCTTATAACAACAAAAATTGTAAAACTCGATAACATATATGGGCCAGGTGCGGTGGCTGACACCTGTAATCCCAGCAGTTTGGGAGGCCAAGGCGGGTGGATCACTTGAGGTCAGGAGTTCAATACCAGCCTGGGCAACATGGTGAAAACCCATCTCTACAAAAAAAATACAAAAATCAGCTTTGAGTGGTGTCGCACACCTGTAGTCCCAGCTGCTTGGGAGGCTGAAGCAGGAGAATTGCTTGAACCGGAAGGTGGCGGTTGCAGTGAGTTGAGATCATGCCACTGCACTCCAATCTGGGCGACAGGAGTGAAACCCTGTCTCCAAAAAAATGCATATGAAGAAAATGATAAAAGAATAAGTAGAGAAATCTATCACTGTACTGAAAGAAATGATTGAGTGTACTTTGAAGAGCGAGTGACTAAAGTTGCTGTAGATAAGAGGCTTCAAGGTTCCCGTAGGTGCCCCAGTGCAGTTACAGGCTCAAGCTCTAGGTGGCAGAAGAGATCTGATGATGACAAGAGCCGACAGCCAGGACTCTAGGTCCTGGGCCAAGGGCATGTGGACGATGGGATTGATAGCAATATTGTCCACATCTGACTCATCGCCTAGCACTCTTTCCACTGGAGATCATTGCTTTTGCTGCTGATTGGCTTGATTGGTATTTGAGAAGCATATTCTAGAGTTGTGGCCATAGCATTCACTCTGTCTTTGGTACTTTCAGAGGCTCTGGGGTCCCCATTTGAGGATTAGTCTTTTGTTTTAGCTGAGCTTGGCTAATTTTAAAGTGGAAATGGTGTACCCATATCCAAACAAAATTATTTCTTCTTAAATATAAAAGGGGATGTTTCTGTAAATACCTTATTCTGGCTTAATTAAAATGGAAGAAAGGAGTAGATTACATTTTGTATATAAAGTGTAATTTTATTTTGATTATGAAAGTTTGAATACAATTACCATTTACTTATTATTTTTGAGATAGGGTCTTGCTCTGTTGTCCCAGTTGGAGCACAGTGGAATAATAACAGCTCACTGCAGCCTCGACCTCCCAGGCTCAAGCAGTCTCTTGCCTCAGCTACCCAAACAGCTGGGACAACAGGTGTGTGTCACCACCACTGGCTTTTTTTTTTTTTTTTTTTTTTTTTTTTTTTTTTTGTAGAGATGGTGTCTCACTGTGTCGCCCAGGCTGGTCTTGAATTCCTGGCCTCAAGAAATCTTCCCACCTCAGCCTCCCAAAATGCTGGGATTACAGGTGTGAGTCATCTTACCAGGCTGCAGTTACCTTTTAAACAGAAGGCTAGAAATGTGATTTTCCTCCATTAGATTTGAAGTGAAGATTAATAATGAACTTGTTACTTGGAAGGAGGTTTGGCCATATATTCATGAAGCATGAATATTTTGCTTTTCAGGATAAACAATTTACCAACAATCTCTGCTTTGAAATTTAATGGTGCCTTGACCATGGCAGTTGGAACATCCACAGGGCAGGTAAATATGTTTAATTTGGAAACTTCACATCTAAGTTTTTATTTCAGTGGTGTGTGTATGTGTCATGAGAAATATACTATAGGAACACAAAACGAGGCCATACTATTTTAGCCAGAGCAGGGGGTATGCCTTAATGCTGGATTCTTCTAGCGCCTTGAGAAATCTTGACTCTTGCCTTGGTCAGTCTGTGGTGCTGTGGACTTGGAGCTGCAGTGGGATAGGCCTGCACCACCACACCTGGCTAAGTTTTTGACTTTTTGTAGAGACAGGGTCTCACTGTGTTGCCCAAGCTGGTCTTGAATTCCTGGGCTCAGGCGATCCTCCCACCTCAGCCTCACAAAGTGTGGGGATTACAGGCGTGAGCCACTGGGCCTGGCCATAAGTACTCTCATTAGTGGTTTGGAACAGCATTTCTCAGAGTCTATGGAACAGAATTCTGTGGTCAGACAGTCTTGGGAGTCTGCCAGACTTCTACTCTTAAAGATTCACAGTGGATTTCAGTGCTTTTTAAATAAAGGCACTGAGGAATTCTTGCAGACAAGAAATATGTTTAATAAATATTTCCAAAATTCGTGTGTTCAAGGAGGCTTTTTTTGTTTTTTAAACATAGCATCATTAACTATAGCCCATGCCATGAGTGGTCAGCAGAACATGCATTAGCAGTGCTAGTCCGAGGAGTACTTCTTTCTTTCCTTCAAGGTAGAGCCTGTACACTTGCCTCCCCCTGCAAGAGGTCTGAAACCCTGCCTTGGAAGATTAACTTTCTCTGTCATCATGGGCTGGAGGGGATCTGTCACCTGGGACTTAATCCTAGGGGAGCTTCCCCAGGCTTCCTTGCCCCTAATGACAGGGGTCCAAAGAGATTTCCCCTTCTCCCAAGAAGTCATAGCCTTGCTACCACCACCTGTCTTGAATCTACTAGGACTGTTGCTAATTATGTCTTTGATTTTTGTTTATATCTGTTGCTATGACACTGCCTGGTATGTAGGCCCTCAGTATGTATTTGTTGAAAATTAAACAAATTCTTATTTTTTTTTTTTTTTTTTTTTTTTTTTTTTTTTGTTTATATTTTTTTGATTTCCTGTATGTAGGCTCATATGTATTTTTAAAAATTAACCAATTCTTATGGGATTTCATTTTTTGTTCCTTTCTTAGTATGTTCAGTACTCTTAAAAATTACCCTTGGGGTTGAATTCATAAAATGTATACTTTAAGGATTATTTAAGAGATCTTTCTGGAGAGAATCTCAAATCTCAACATCTTGAATAAGGGTGTTCATTGTGTTCATAACAAAGTAATGAAGAAAATGGCTGCCATTATTCTCACTTATAAATATTTCGTTTGAAGATAAAATGTCTAGTTTGTTTAAACAGAAATAACTTGGTTTTGATTTTTTTTTTCAGGTTTTATTATATGACCTTCGATCTGATAAGCCATTGCTAGTTAAAGATCACCAGTATGGGCTGCCCATTAAGTCCGTTCATTTCCAGGATTCATTAGATCTGATTTTGTCTGCTGACTCTCGAATTATCAAGATGTGGAATAAGAACTCCGTATGTATTTTTGGTTGAAATTACTTGCTTCTTTATTTGCAGGTGTTCCGAATGATCCTTTCCTCTCCATTGCCTTTTTTTTATGTGGGTTGTTGAGAAAGAGATACTGAATATCCATTTGGGAACTTAGTGGGAGGGCAGTTACTTTTGGATACTTGATTGCTTTCTTTCTGTTAAGAAATTTTCCTGATTATCTAGAACTGCCATCCATTTTAGATGTTAAGTTAGGTGGAGAGAAAATCATGGTTTAAAAAAGTTGATCCATGACCTGAGAAACCCCCTAGATATCGAGATTCCCTCACAGATGTAGGAAAAGTTTTAAGAGCCACTAATTATCCTTCCATGCATGTTTGTGTTGTTACATATCTCAAATTTATACTTTTCCTTTTTTTTGAAACAGAGTTTTGCTCTGTTGCCCAGGCTGGAATGCAGTGCTGTGATCTCAGCTCACTGTAACTTCGGCCTCCTGGTTTCAAGCAATTCTCATGGCTTAGCCTTGGAGTAGCTGGGATTACAGGCTTGCGCCACCATGCCTGGCTAATTTTTGTATTTTTAGTAGCGATGAGGTTTCATCTTGTTGGCCATGCTGGTCTTGAACTCCTGGCCTCAAATGATCCTGCCTGCCTCGACCTCCTAAAGTGTTGGGATTACAGGCGTGAGCCACCACATCTGGCCTTAAAAGCTATATTTCTTAAGAATATTTTGATGTTCCTTTTCCTCAGCTCTAAATGTCGTTTGAAATGTAACAAAATCCTGTATTGCTGGTTTTAATCTGTCTTCTGTTTTTCATTTTTCATTTTAAAACCGAAGTATTTTGAGAGAATAGTAGAAAGTTCATCAAATCAATGGGAAAAATGCATTCAGTATAGCTATGCTTTTAAGAGTTCTTTGCATTTAATTCATTAGAAACTTAGCATTCTTAGTTTAAAAACAGATCACTTTTAAAAACTTATTTGTGATGAAGTTGGGTGAACGGTCCACCAGCCTCAGCAGTTGGTGCCTCAGTGCAAGTGCCAGTCTATTCCGTGGGGGCTGCCTGTGCTCAGGCACACATGCTACAGACAGCCCCTCACAGTTCAGCTGCCTGTTGAGTCTCTGGCTTTCTAGGCTGTTACTTTGGTTGTTTAAATTTCATTTTGTTAATTCCTGAAGTATGGGTCTTCCTTGGCTTATTTTCCTTTTTTCTCTGGATCTCTCCTGGAGACCAGACGTGTGTTCTACATCCCTGAGGCCGTCACCTCATTCATAAGTTCTGGTGACTTTGTTTATGTTACAGAGAAGAACATAAAGAAAAAGACAGGCTTTCAGTCTGTCTAAATTCTTGGAAGAATTACCCTGATGATTGCCCAGGGAAGTGTCTGTGCTGTCTGCTTTGCTGGCTTTGAGTTTGGAGGATATTGAGGGCTTTTTTAAGGATGATTCGTGATCTTAGACCCGACCTTTCTCTGCTGTTTTTCTGGCAATTCAAACTAATTGGCATTAAAACAATATTTATTTTTAATACTGCAAATGCTTATGTTTTTATTCTTAAAAATTCATAAAACAGTGGTAAAGTAGAAGTTATTTATCCTTGACCTGGCTTTCATCCAGCCTAAGGGAAAGACTATTACCAATCTGGATGTGTCTTTCCATACCCTTTAACTTCTGCGTAGTTTCCAATGTGTGGATTAGTATCACCTTTGACACCTTTTTGTCATTGTTGTTCTGTACCATTCTAATTCCTTTCCCCTCGCTTCCTGGTTTCCCCGCTTTTCCTTCCTCTTTCAGTGGGAACTTGAGAAGAACGGGAGGCAGCTGTGTGAGTCTCACTGTTAGTCTTGGGGTAGGACTTGGCTGTGTTCTTCATTGGACACAAACCATCTTGTCTGTGCTCTGACACTGCTCTTTTTTGCCGTGGGCACTCAGTCCATCCTAGTGTCAGACTTCTCATAATGAGTTACAAATGCAAGAGCTGGCAGCAATTTTCAACATCACTTCTTGAAATCATCACACTGTAATTGCTACAGTAAATTTTATTTTGGCATTTTTTTTGTTTCTTATGACTAAAGACTTCCTCTTGACTAACACCCACATTACTTGGTTTTGCCTGACTTGCTTACCTTGTTTATCTTTCTCATCATCTTTTTCCACACCCACCTTCTTAGCATCTTTTTCTTTTACTTTCCTTCTCTTAATTTTTGAAAGATAGAACACTCTTCCCCCAACACTTAAAATAGAAATGGTTTAGCCCTAACTACAGAGTAACTAACGCTTAAGTATTTGTAGGATTTCATTTTGTTTTTTATATCCGTTGTCTCACTTGATCCTCCTCGAAAACTTGCGGTGCAGGCATGGCAGTGTTGTCCTCATTTTCCATGCTGGCCATCTCTCTCCTCTGATTTCTTTCTTTTTTTTTTTTGAGATGGAGTCTCACTCTGTCACCCGAGGCTGGAGTGCAGTCGTGCTATCTTGGCTGACTACAATCTCCATCTCCTGGGTTCAAGCAATTCTCCTGCCTCAGTCTCTCTAGTAGCTGGGATTACTAGATCCCAGGCCACCATGCCTGGCTAATTTTTGTATTTTTAATAGAGTCGGGTTTCACCATATTGGTTAGGCTGGTCTTGAACTCCTGACGTCAAGTGATCTACACATCTCAGCCTCCCAAAGTGCTGGTATTACAGGTGTGAGCCACAGCTCCCAGCCGTCCTCTGATTTCTTTCAATACAAATTAAACTGGGTACGCTTCACAGATTATGAAATATTTTTTTTTAAGTTGATGCATATTTTAAACTTCATCTTTTCTTCCCATGTTGACATTATCTTTAAAATGTTGCAATTTTTCTTTTTTTTTTTTGGACAGGTCACTTCTCCTCCCTAGGCCTGTTTCTTCATCTATAAAATGGGATTTTTTGATAAATTGATAAGATAAATTCTCTAAGATTTTTAAGAATTTAAATTTTGTATTTGAATTAGGCTATTTTATTTATTTACATAGGAGTAGATGGTTGAGTTACAGCTTCAGTTTATTTGACATTGCCAAAAGTTGTTGTCCTTTAACCTTTAATAATTCATTTTTGCTTGCTATTTTTAGGGAAAGATATTTACTTCCTTGGAGCCAGAGCATGACCTTAATGATGTTTGTCTCTACCCCAACTCAGGTATGCATTCTGTAGTGAACATTCAGTGAGACAAATAAAAAGGCTATACTTTTTTAGGTTTTAAACCCATTTTATTTCTTAAGATAGAATTTGGCTTTGTCAGCACAATTCTTGGATATTTAACTTAGAAGAATTAAGAGCAGGAAGTGGTGTCGATGATTCAGAAAATGGCACTCTTAATGACTCAGTGCTCAGCCCGCCCAGCTATTAGTGGAAAGTGGTAACAGCATACAGGTAGGAGGCAGGTGAAGTGCTATTTTGGTGTGCTCTTTAGCTCTTTTATGTGATTAGTAATAGTGTGTGGAAATTGAGGGCAGAGATTTGGAGAAAGCTAGATTGCCTGATAATACACAGATGGCTCATGAAACCACAGGTTTTATAAATTCTACGTTGTATGCTATTCAGCAATTTACATGTTAGATTTCAAAATTTAACAATGCATTCAAGGCAAATCTGTGAAGAATTTCAGAGTATGGGAGAAAAATGAGAACAGTGTCTACTCTGAGGACAGAGGTGCCCAGATCATCCTGATGGAGGGAAGTAAGGCAGAGTGTGAGAAATCCTATCACGTTTGTGCAAAGAGTACTTTGACAGCTTTCTGGAGAGAGAGTGCTTTTACCCTGACCACCGAGAGCAGAGCAACGAGAAAGTTTTGCTTTGCGTTGAGCTGGAGCGCCGAGTGAGGTTTGGTTAGGTGGAGTTGGAGCTGAGGTGATTCTCGTAGGAGAGCAGTCCAAGACGACCAGAAAGGATGGGCACAGAGGGCTCAGTTGGGGCCGGGAGGAGTGTCCTGTGCCTGAGCTGTGGTGGCTCTGGGAAGGCTGAAGTGGGAGGCAGAGAGTGGCAGGTGGTGGAGGGCTGGGCATGATGTGCTGAATGTCTTGGGCTCCGTGTGCAGTCGGAGAGGACTTGTTCCGACTGTGCTTTCAGAGGCAGGTCTACCCCGTGTTCCAAGGGTAGATTGGTTTTGAACAAAAGTGACCTAGAAGTAACTGATATTCTGAGCTGAGATGGGGAGCACAGGTGAGAGAGCAAGTTTGTAAAGATTATGGCTGCTTTTTCTAACGTGTGAGGATTAGGAGGTGATGGGCAGTTGCAGTATCTGGCAGTGTCTGGCTTCCCGTCAAAATCATTTGCACAGCTTTAAAGGTACAGCTCCCTTGACCTTATGCTAGGTGTACTGACTCATAGTATCTATGGAGAGGGCTTAGAAATGTGTGTTTTGTTGTTTTTTTTATTTTTTTTGAGATGGAGTCTCGCTCTATCACCCAGATTGGAGTGCAGTGGCACGATCTCTGCTCATTGCAACCTTTTCCTCCTAGGTTCAAGTGATTCTCATGCCTCAGCCTCCCAAGTAGATGGGACTTCAGGGACACGCCACCACCATGCCTGGCTAAATTTTGTATTTTTAGTAGAAACGGGATTTTACCGTGTTGGCCAGGCTGATCTTGAACTCCTGACCTCAAGTGATCTGCCTGCCTCTGCGTCCCAAAATGCTGAGACTATAGGTGTGAGCCACCGTGCCTGGCCAGAAATGTGTATTTTTAACATACTTCCCAGTGGATTCTTAGGCGGCAAGCCCTGAATTGATCCGCAGACTTGTGCTTGGGAGGCATGTCTGGTGTCCAGTAGAAAATGTGGTCTCAGTGTAAGTGGGTCTGTAGTTAGAATGTTTTGCCATTATCCCAGAAGTGGTGGGAATGAATGAAGTGACTGATAGGGAAAGCGGGAGTGAGATAGGAAGTGAGCAGGAGCCAGTTCATTTGGGAGAATGATGGGGAGGAGCCAGCTGAGAAACTGGGCAGTAATGGACAGAATGACAGTGCCAGGCCCCACAGTTGTTGAAGTATGGGAGAGATTCAGTGGGCATTGCTCAGCAACTACTAAGGATTACAGACGTTGGGGCAGGAAGGAAAAAACTAAGTTTGATTGCATGCTGCTGTTATCAATCTGGATGACGGATGCTATAATACAAACTTATTTCATCTTTTATAACTGTGTAGTCAGTGGTCCATGGCTTTTTATTCCTTCTGTTTTCTTTCTTTCTGCTTTTTCTTACCTCTTAAGGGGTCAGAAAAATTGGGTAATTCATTCAGGGTTGGTCACCCAGGTGGTGTGTGGCAGAGCCTCAGTTAGAACCCAGCCTTCCTGATTCTGGTGCCCATGCTGTTTTTCTTTTTTTTTTTTGAGACAGAGTCTCCCTCTGTCCCCTAGGCTGGAGTGCAGTGGTGCCATCTTGGCTCACTGCAACCTTCCCCTCCCAGATTCAAGCGATTCTCCTGCTTCAGCCTCCTAAGTAGGTGGGATTACAGGCGCCCGCCACCACGCCCGGCTAATATTTGTATTTTTTGTAGAGACAGGGTTTCACCATGTTGGTCAGGCTGGTCTCGAACTCCTGACCTCGTGATCTGCCTACCTCGGCCTCCCTAAGTCCTGTGATTACGGGCGTGAGCCACTGCGCCCAGCCGCCCATGCTGTTTCTAATTACACACTGCTCTCCCAAGAAAGATGAGAAACACTGGACTTTATAATTTACATTTCATCTGTGATAGTTGAGAGAATTTTATTATAATCATGGGAGTAAAGTAAAATTCTGGTGAGTTCAGGAACAGATTGCAGCTGAGGATGCTGGGTCCTAGTTAGGGTATTGAAATAACCTGCACTGGGGTCTGGGCTAAGTAGGTAAGTGAGTAAACCGGGTGGAGCTGAGGCTAGGTAAGGGTGATGAGCAGGGGTAGTGCGACTGGGGGAGTGACAGTTTGAAGGGCACAGAGAGTGGGGAAAGACAGTCTCACCTTGGGCTGTACAGTTTGGTAACCACTAGCCACTGAAGGGCATTGACATGTACTGTGAGTATAAAATATACATTGGATTTAAAAGACATTCTGTGAAAAAAGGATGTAAAATAGATCATTAATAATTTTCTATTAATTACATGTTGAAATGAACATATTTTAGACATATTGGATTAGTAAAATAAAATTAATTTTAACATTTTATTAAATGTGGCTACTAAAAATTTTTAAATCACATATGTGGCTCACATGCTGTTCCCATTGGACAGTGCTGGTCTAAACTGGGAGATCTTCAACCCTTTAGGATGCTGGTAAGGTTTAATAGTGCTTGTGCCTGGCTGGGCGCAGTGGCTCACGCCTGTAATCCTAACACTTTGGGAGGCCGAGGCAGGCGAATCACGAGGTCAGGACATCGAGACCATCCTGGCTAACATGGTGAAACCCCGTCTCTACTAAAAATACAAAAAATTAGCCAAGCGTGGTGGCGGGTGCCTGTAGTCCCGGCTACTCCGGTAGGCAGAGGCAGGAGAATGGTGTGAACCCACAGCGGAGCTTACCTTGAGCCGAGATCGCGCCACTGCACTCCAGCCTGGGCGACAGAGCAAGACTCCATCTCAAAAAAAAAAAAAAAAAAAGTGCTTGTGCCTGGCCCAGTGTAGCGGGGATTTTTGAGGCTGGTAGGTTGCCTCAGTTTTTCCATTGTAACGAAGAATGTAGAGGCTCAGAGAGTGAAATGAGTGCCAATCTGTTGCCACCCCGAGGCTGCTATGCACAAACAGCTTCTCCACGAGGCAGGGCTAGAGTTTGGACTCTTCTTGTGGTCAACTTGATGTCTCAGGTCAAGTTTTGTGCATCTGTCCCCCACCTTTAATGGCTGTAAAGATCTATTAACCCACAAAGGGCGAGACTCCTGGGCAAAGAAGCCTCTTTCTGAGAAATACTCAGGCTCAGACTATTGAGGAACCCATTTTTGAAATTCCACCTGTGATGACAGTGTTTGGAATCACAAGGACAAGGAGAGGAGGGAGGCTGATGTTAGTAGTGTTGTTACCCAGGTAACTGCTGAGGAAGAGACTTAAATTGGATTGAGAGGGTGCTGATAATTCAACCACACATCTCTGGAATACTGATTTTATTTTTTTGCCTGGTCTGTATTTATTTTTTTAGAGACAGGGTTTCACTTTGTCTCCTAAGCTGGAGTGTAGTGGCACATTTATAGCTCACTGCAGCCTTGAACCCCTGGGCTCAAGCGATCCTGCCTCGGTCTCCTGAGTAGCTGAGACTGTAGATGCGCACCATCACGCTGGGCTCTCCCCTGGTCTTACAATAAAAATTTAAATGATTTGTCATTAAAAATGGCATAAAAATTGTAAAAATAAACATGGTTTTTAATGAAATTTAGAAGTGTTTCTCTCTGGGAAGAACACTTATTTAATGAAGATTATTATGGCCTAGCACAGTGGCTCACATCTATAATCCCATCGTGCCTATAATCCTGAGGCAGGAGGATCACTTCAGTCCAGGAGTTCAAGACCAGCCTTGTCAACATAGCAAGACCCTGTGTCTACTAAAAATAAAAGAAATTAGCAGGAGCAGTGGCACACGCCTGTAGTCCCAGATACTCAGAGGGCTGAAGCAGGAGGATCGCTTGAGCCCAGGAGTTTGAGTTTACAGTGAGCTATGATCTCGAAACTAACTGTACTCCAGCCTGGGTGACAAAGCAAGACCTAAAAAAAAAAAAAAAAATTATGTTGATAACATTTTAATTGTAGAAGCATTTGTAGCACAGTGATTTTAATAGTTACTTATTACAGTAATATTTATGAAGAAATGTTTGACAGTTTGGTCAGAAAACATTCTTAATGAGTTGCATTTTAAAAAGTCTATTTGGCAAACTGACCTATAGGCTGAATCCAGTCCACCACTTGGTAGTTTGCAGCCTTTGAGTTAAGAATGGGTTTTACATTTTTAAATGGTTGGGGAAAAAAAATCAAAGAACAGTAATATTTTATGACATGGAAATTCAAATTTTTGTGACTGAAATTCAGATTTCAGTGTCTTTCAGCATAAAGTTTTATGTGAACACAGCCACCCTTGTTCGTTTATACATTGTCCATGTGGCTTTTGCAGCACTGTGGCAGAGGTGAGTAATTTTAACAGTGACCAGGTGGGCTGCAAAGCCTAAAGTGTTTACTGCCCGGCCCT